ATGTGTGTTTGTGAGTGCACGAGTGTGTCCGTGTGTGTGCACGTGTGCTTGTGAGTGCATAAGCGTGTGCATGTACATGCATGTGTCTGAGTGTGAGTGCACAAGTGTGTCCGCGTGTGTGCACGTGTGCCTGAGTGCATGAGCGTGTCCATGGGTGTGCACGTGTGCATGAATGTGTCCATGTGTATATGTGCCTGAGTATGAACGCATGAGCATGTCCATTTGTGTGTGTGCACATGTGCCTGAGTGTGAGTGCACATGTGTGTGCATGCCTGCACACATGTGATGTGGCCATATAAATTGTATCGGGTGTGTATGCACGTTATGCATCTGTATGTGAGTATGTATACATGTGCATGTGTATGTAGGTAAGAGTATGTATATACGGATGCACATGTGGACTTGTGTGCATGTGTACACATGTACAGGTGTATGTGGATACAAGTGCGCTCACATATATAAGTGTATGTGTATGAGTGTATGTGTACATGTCAGAGTACCAGCACCTGAGGGCCACACTGAAGCAGCCTCTGATAGACAAGATGCAAGACCCCAGGCCGTGGCCACACTGTTCTGATCTTTGCATCCAGCCATCCTGTCCATCCTCTTGCAGGAACTCACCCTCATGCCGAACGCCACGCTGGGCTCTCCTGGCTCCCCTTTTTCTCCTTTCAAACCGTTCATCCCGGGCCGACCCTAGGCAGAGCACAGTGGGTGAGGACTGCTGGGCACTGGCCACACTGCAGCAGTCAGCCACCGAAGGGCCCCCAGTCTGAGGGCTCAGCCTCCCACACTCCTGCCCTTGTGGCTCCTGGCCCTCCTGTTCTGGCTCTCCTCACTCGTCTTCCTGCCTGGGGACCCTCTGAGGAGGACTAGTGACGGACTCCAGCAGCACCTGGGCCTTCTCCTGGACCCAAGCTACCCTCAAGCAAGGCTGGGACACCCCTGCCCACCCTGGCCACGTTGGGGGTGAAAGCTGTGCTCAGTTAGGGCCAGTTCTGGAGGACAGTGGGAGTGGCCCTCCACTCCCCTCCATAACCACTGCCCTGTGGCCCTGAGCTGCTGCTCATGCAGGGCACAGAGGGCCCCCCAGATCCCCTCCAGGTATTTACCGGCCGTCCAGGAAAGCCAATCTCTCCCTTGTGCCCTGGTCGTCCATAGGGACCCTGCAGAGAGAAGGGTACAGCTTTCAGGTGGGCAGAGCAGAGCAGGCCAGCCCTGGCACTAAGGACAACTGCTGTGTGGCCTCCACCTCACCCTGCCCATGCACTTTGAAGGTGTGGCTGGGAGATAAGCCCGGGGCCACACAGTACACACTCAGCAGCCACTCTAATGACAAGTGTCCCAGTGCACAGCTCGCCTATGCACCATGTAGATAGAGCTGAGTCCTACTCACCGGCGGTCCTCGGAAGCCTGGCTCTCCCTGAATAGAAAGGCAGAAGGCTTCATTAGGCGGCTAGCTCTGTCCCCACCAGCCAGCCTCCCTGAGGATCCCCTGCCTTCTGGGGACACTGGGTGGTGCCCAGGGCCACAAGCAAGACACAGGGGAGGTCAGGAAATGCCAGTGGGGAGAAGATTCCGGACTGGGGTTTGTGCCTGTGTTGGTGGCCCTGCCCTGCCTGTACAGTACCCTGGCTGGGGTCACCTTGACCATAGGCAGCTGTGAGGCCAGCAGCATGTGCTCTAGGGCTGGCATCCAAAGTTTGAGGCCCATCCCTAGGGCTAGAGGTTCTGGGCCCTGGTGCAGGCCTGTGGGAGCCTGGCCCACACACTCAGCAGATGGAGCAGCTCCTTTCTATACCCTTCCCAGGCCTGCCTGGGTGGCCACAGCTGGGGGACCCAGGGGCACAGGCCCCTGAAGGAAATGCCTTGGGTTCCTGCCACACTCGGGCTCCTGCCACACTCAGACTTCTGCTGGCATCCTGGGGTTGGAGCCCCCAGGAAGAGGCCAGAAGCCCACCAGGGATAGGGGTACAGAATGAGGGCAGCCTGATGCTCCTGAGCACCCCTGTGGGAGATGGTGGGGCAAAGAGGGGCAGAGCCTCTGCCACCAGCATCCCCAACCTCCCTGCAGGGTGGACCATGTCCAGTCTGAGTGGCAGGAACACACCCACTGTACTTGTGAGAGGTGGACAAGGAAAGGGCTTGTGCTGCTCAGGAAAGCTGTGTGCAACCCGACCCTGCACCTGCCCTCAGGAGAGCTGTGTGCAACCCAACCCCACACCTGCCCTCACCTTGGCTCCTTTCTGGGCAGGGACCATGGCTCTGCCATCAGGGCTGAAGATGTTGCCAGGCTCACCTTTCTCTCCCTGCAATGGCAGGAAGCCCAGCAGGGTCACAACCCAATCCTGGCAAAGACCCGCCTCATAGTAACAACCCTACAGGCCCTCATGGAGCGCCCCTTACCTTGGGTCCAGGGAAGCCTTGCTCACCTTTGGCACCCAGGTCACCTTTGGGCCCAGCAGGTCCCTGGAAGAGATTCTATAGGTAGTGAGGGGCCATGTGAACCAGACCTCCCATCCTGGGTGGCCGCCCCATCCTTTCCACAGCAGCTCCCTGGTAATGTGCCAGCCTGCCAGTCCTAGGCAGAGGGCCACACACCGCCCCGATGTTACAGGCTTCTGCTCAGGCACAGGAAAGGTCACGGGCACCACCTATGCTGGGCTGCCTCAAGGTTCTTGTCACATCCTGCTACCATTATACAGGACAGTAACTGTCCCTACCCTCTGGCTAAACAAGGCTGGCCTGGCGCACAGAGGAGACTCCCCGCCCAGCAGGGAAGGCTGCAGCCTGGCTATAGCCTGCCTGCAGATCTGGAGCAGGGATACTTACAGGAAAGCCTGCGTAGCCGGGCCGGCCCTGCGGGAAGAGGGGCAGCGTCAGCCTGGTCCCTGAGCACCCAGAAACACTGGGAGTCCATGTGAGCCACCTCCCAACTGCGCCCAGCCCCCGCAGAGAGTTTCAGCCAGGAAGGTACATACCTTAGGCCCTGGCGCACTCAGCACAGCGCCCTGGGAGCATGCCAGCAGAAAGACAGAAATTAGAAAAAAGAAAATTCACTGCAAATTAAATTCGGCTCCAATTATTACTGTTATGAGATCAATAAAATAATACCAAAAAATGAAATTTAAAAAGAAAATCTTGCTAGCAATAGTGTCTCTGGTTTTTGTCTGAGTATCCCCAGGAGACCCTGAAGCCATATCCTGGGAACCCACTTTACCTAGCATAGACCCCTTCTCAGCTCAGAGTACCCCTGACCCAGACTCAGATTCCCTACGGGCCAAGAGCTTTAAGTCCATTTCTGTTTAAAATGCTCAAGCTCTGCTGGACACTCCCTTGCTCCCTGGACACAGATGGCTACATTGAGTGTGAGGCCTTGGGCCAGCCAGGCCAAGCCATGCCTGAGGCCCAAATCGGGGGACCTGCCCTTTCTGGTCCACTGGCTACTGTGGGAGCCAGGCCCCTCCAGCCAGGCTCTCCTGGGCTGTGGGCTCACTCAGCTCCACACCTCTCACCAGAATGCACCCAGCTCTCAAGAGAGGGAGCCAAGCACAGAGGTGCAGTCACTGCTCAGGGGCACACAGATGGCAGTGCCAAAGTGGAAGCTGGGCCCACATCACCTGCACCTGCCCTCAGCCTGCACCAGGTGCCAAGAGGCAGCAGGCATCTGAGACTTCTGCCCTGAGGACAGCAGTGGCCTCAGCTGGGTCCGGTGTGGTTGGGGCTGAGCAGGGAGGAAGGATGCAGACTGACAAGACCTTGCCCCAAAGAACCTTGGGCTCATGCACATCCTGATGAGGACATTGAGATCCACAAGCTATAGTTGGGGCTACATTGTCTGGGACCACGGGACTGCCCACTTGGGAAACATTACCATTTAAAAATAAGTGCCTGACCTTGCCAGGCTGCCCACTCCCACCTCCCAAGGCCCAGTCGGCCAGGCCCTGCCCTGTAGTGGGGCCCACCTCCTCTGGGTGGAGGCTTGGCAGATTAAGCACCTCCCACAGTGTCCTTACATTCTGCTCTGACACGTAGACCACAGGCCCTGGGGGTCCGGGTGGCCCTCGGAGGCCTGGCTGTCCTACTCCATCCTGACCTCGGTCGCCCTGGAAGAGAATGTCAAGTGTCCAGCTCGTGGCTACCCTAGTGAAGACCCCAGACCCCACCCAGGCCGTGGGGGTTTTCTGGGGCCCACAGGGGTAAGGAGGCGCATGGGGCTATGGTCAGTGACCCTGGGCGGGGCAGGCTGCCATCAGGGAAAGCCACACCTCACAGGCTGCTCCCAGCCCCAAAAGCCACCCCTGTTGATATGAGGTACTTGTCTTGCATCTCTGAGACCACATGGGTGCAGGGTGGATGTGTGAACCTGGGGCAGCACACTGAAGCCCCATCTGTCCTCCCAATTTGCACCTGCAGGCCCTGAGCAGGGCCTGCTCCCTGCCCCAGAGACACTTACTTTTTCTCCTTGGCTTCCTCTGTCTCCTTTTGGTCCCTGCAGAGATGGGAGGGAAAGTCACCATACCAGACAGAAGCCCCCTTCCAGGAGCCCCCAGACCACTAGGCCCTAGAAGGAATAAAGGCATGGAGAGTCCTCATTCTCTGACAGAGGAAGCCTATCTTGGGACTCAACTCACTAGAGCCAGAGACCCCTGGGGGACACACCATGTGTCAGCTCCCATCTCCCTACAGTCCTTCAGGGGTCACCTTTGCACCCTGGGCTCACCAAAGTCACTGACCTGAGGCCCGGTGGAGCCCTCTCTGCCGGGGAGGCCAGGGAACCCTGGGGCCCCATCTGCTCCGACTTCTCCCTGCAAAGGACAGGTGGAGGGCAGAGTGTCAGTGCTTGGTCTCAGAGGCTATGGGGACATCTGTGGAGCAATAATGACCTGGGTTTCTATAGGTGACAACGCTCAATCCCGAAGGGTGATTCATCCTGGTGGGACTTTGAGGGGTGCAGGGGTGGCAGAGATGGGACAAGGGATCCTGGCATTTAGAGACCTCCTGTATGGCTCCTGCAAGTTATGGGGCACAGCTGGACAGAGCACCTGGAATGTTCCCTTGACTCTGTGAAACCTGGGTGTGCCTTGGGGTGGGAGCTCTGGAAAGGGAGGTCCCCTAGGGTGGGCACCCTGTGGGGAGGGTGCTGCCCTGGATGGGTGGCCTGGAGTGGTGTCTGTTGCAGGTCTGTCTTTAAAACAGGCAGGACTAAGTTACAAGGAAACACGAAGGCACAGGAAGGGTGGGGGAGCCAGGAGCTTGACCCCTGGGAGGCATAGGAGGTCCCCCCCAGCAGCCCTCCACAACCCAGGCTGATGGCCCTGAGGATAAGCCCTCATGCCATTCCTGAGGATCAGGGAACAGGCTCCCCCAGCACAGGTGCTTACCTTGGCCCCAGGCAGCCCAGGTGTTCCAGGATCCCCCTGAGGGGGCAAAGGGCTCTGTGAGCAAGAGTGGCCCGGGCAATACCCACCACGCCCCATGGGAGAAGGGGAGGGTCAATCTTCCAGATGTACCCCACACGCCTCCCAGCCCCAAACTGAGGATCCCAGGGCCCTGTCAGCCCCACTAGCGGCAGGGCCATGGTCTGCATCCCAGTAGACACATGATCTGGGCTGTTCTGGAAGCTGGTGACAAGAGCCACTTGGCAAGATTATGTCACTCAGACAAGAAGTCCTTCTAGGCTCGGCACCTGTGGCTCAAGCGGCTAAGGCACCAGCTACATACACCTAAGGTGGCAGGTTCGAATCCAGCCCGGGCCCACCAAATAACAATGACGGCTGCAACCAAAAAATAGCCGGGCATTGTGGTGGGCACCTATAGTCCCAGCTACTTGGGAGGCTGAGGCAGGAGACTCGCTTGAGCCCAGGAATTGGAGGTTGCTGTGAGCTGTGATGCCACAGCACTCTACCTAGGGGGACAGCTTGAGGCCCTGTCTCAAAAAAAAAAAAAAAAAAGAAGTCCTTCTAAAATCCAGCCCTTCAAATGTCCCAGTGTTTTGCAAAACAAAGTAAAACTTTGTAAGGAAGTTTAACGGGAGACTTGGAGCCCTTGAACCTGGCACTTACAGGGAGATGTCTCTCCTCACAACTCCCCACCTGTCCTGGGAGCCCTGTGGGGCCTTAAGGGGGGGGGGGCTATGATGCCAGGCCTGGCTGGTGACCCGGGAGGGGCAAGCAGGGAACAGAGCTCCCGAGAGCTCCAGGGACACCATCCCACCCCCACCAAGGCTGAGGTGGGAGCTCCAGGTTCTTCCCTAAGCCTCTCCATCTGCCCGAGCCAGCAAACATGCTGCAGAAAGTAGGCATCTGGATGGGGGGTGGGGCTTCAGAAAGAAGACGAGGCCGTAGCACTGGCTGTCTGGGAGGGACCTGTGTGGTTATTTCCCTGTTAGACTTTACTGTGGTTTGTGACTTTCCCCTCACAGATTCATACTACTCCTGTGATCAGAGGGCCATGGCCCAAAGCAGCAGTGCCCAGAGGCTACAGGCAGGCCTTATATGCCCCATCAGAGCTGAACAGCAAGGAAGCCTCTGGGACCACAGCATCCAGGCTCCTCTCTTACTGACCTTGAGTCCGGGCAGGCCAGGCAGTCCCTGTCAGGGCAGAGAAGATGCAGCGTCAGTGCAGCCCTAAGCCCTGCTGGGCACCTTTGTCCCACAAGAAAACGTGCTCATTGGCAAAAATCAAGATTTTTTAAGATATGTAAAGGAATCAGTTTTTGTCCAATTGAAATTTCCTGTTAGTTTTGCTTCAAGTAAAAGTTGTGTCCCAGCCACAGGTGCACCCACTAGGCCTGAGGGATATGCTAGGAGCCAGATACCATAGCTTTAGGCCCCCACGTGTGCCCCTGGCTGTTCCCTCTCCCAACTGTGCTGACCCTGGTTGTGCTGGGGTCTTGGTCTCTGCTAGCTGCCCCAAGCCTCACCATGCAGAGGGTGACAGATATCTGCTACTTCTCCAAACTAGAGCCACAAGAATTTAATGACTTGACTTCCCCAGGAAGGCCTTTCTCTAGAAAGACCCCACGTCTGCCCATGCCAACTGTCCCTGTGGCTCCCCCAGCTCCTCAGCCCTTGGCTCTTCAACTTCACAGTGGGTGTTTCCAAAGAGGAATGGTGGCCTGAAGTGGGCCGTGCCACACATCACTTGGCCCTCAGGGCTCTGCGGAGCTGCTCCGCTCCCCACGAGATGCCCTCCAACCCAGGCACCCCAACCCTGCCCGCACTGGCCCAGCCCAGCTCCTGGGCAGTACCTGTAGCCCGTCGGAGCTTCGGGGTGTTGACCAGAAAGGAGCGCCAGAGCCTTCCATATCATCCTGGAGGACACAGGAGGGGTACTTGGCCTGTGTCCCGTCCTCCCTGGGACCAGGCACTGCCCAAGGTGGAGAATAAGCTATGGCTATGGGGGCTATCCTCAGGGCTAAATGAGGGCAGATAACTGGTGGGTGACCCCTTTCAGCCTCTTTCAGGGCACTTGTTACTGGTCTGAGCATCAGCTGAGGCATAGCAGAGGTGGAAAGACAGTGGGGCCACTCAGGGTGGGACCACTGCCCTGGAAGTGCTGCTCAGCGGGTGTGATGCCAGGTGGCCATGACAGCAGACCCAGCTTTCCGGAGTCAAGGCAGTGGTACTCACAAACCCAGCCATGAATCCTGGTCCTGGAGGCCCAGGAGGCCCAGGGGGCCCAGGGAGGCCTGGTGGTCCAGCAGGTCCAGGGGCTCCTGCCAAGCCGCTCTCTCCAGGGGCGCCAACAGGACCAGGGTCTCCCAGGCTTCCCTGTACGGGCGAGGAGAGACAGCATCAGCACATCTGCTTAGCTCATGGCCACTGGACCCCATAGCCATAGTCATAAAGACCTGAGCATCTCCAGTGAAGAGCACCCTGCCTGCAGCTCTTCCTCCTGAGCACAAGAGATGGCCTCGTCCTCATCACACCACCACCAGGAGAGCTGCAGGTCATGTGCTCTCCACAGAGCCACCGGTGTACCCAGCACCTCCGGGACAGGGCAGATGTGGCCCAGGGAAGGCCGGACCCATGGCAGATCAGGAGCCCTGAGCAGAGGGCCTGTGGCTGCCAGGGCAGGGCCAGGCCCCCAAGAAGCCCTTGCCTCCCCTGTGTTCCCTCCAAATGCTGCCAAGACCACAGGGACCACTAGGTGTGCCAGGCAGGGTTAGGGTGAACTCCAGGAGTGAGCCCCCCACATGAAGACACTGGGGAGCTGGGCTGGGACCACCCTGGGGCCTTCCAGTCCCCAGATCCCCTGACACCCCAGCACAGCTCCCGGGAGCATGCCCACTCGTGGGCAGATGCAGCCTGTTCATACCTTGGGTCCGGGGGCACCCACATCACCCTGTGGAGAAAAGAGTGGAGTGGGGTCAATCACAGGGTTAGACGGCAGAGCAGGCATCCTGAGCCCTAGTCCCAGGTCTTGTTCGGCAGGTTGTGCTGATTTAGTCACTTCTACGTGTTTTCCTGAAGTCATCCCCCTCCTGGGAAAGCCATGGCCGTGAGGGGAGTTACCCTGAGCCCAATGCCAGGCCTGGCTCCAAGCAGGCAGCCCACAGCCTCAACCATGTGTGACAAACGTGGGCACCTCTGACAAGGCTCTTTAGCTCAGCTACCATCAAACAAGGTGGCATGCATAGGCTTGCGGCCCTCTTTAGGACAGTCCTCTGCCTGACCGCACAGCAGGCTGACTCAGTGCTCACAAGAGGCACCAAGTAAACGTGTACTCCCCAGAGGGCTGGACGCCAGCACCTCCCACCATCTCTGGTCACAGAAATGCCACCTGGAAATCATGGCCACTCCCATCTCATCAGAGGCCCGTAAAGCTTCCTGAAAGCTGCCCAACTCTAAATGTAGTCAAAATTGAGACATGAAGTGTTTTCAGATCAAATGGAAAGTCAATATTCTTAAAAACTGTTACCGAAATCCTCATCACACAGTCCTGAATTTCCACCTACGGCCCAGCTGGCCACACAGCCAAACAGCCTTGGAAGCCCACAGCCGGGGCAGCTGGGCTGTCCATGGCCCCACTCTCCCGGCACTGCCCCTTTGCAGTGCACCACTATGGCCACACAGCACAGCACTGGGTCCTGTCCACTTGGCTTGGTGGGAAGGTACTTACAAGGCTGCCTTTCTGCCCGGGCTTTCCTGGTGGCCCCTCTCTTCCTGGAGGACCTGAGGGCCCCTGGGGGAGAGATAAGCAAAGTTTGGGTCTGGACAGGATTCCATTTCTCGAAAGACTCTGGGTTAGCAGACAGTTATCTGTCTGGGCTTTCACAGATTTCCTGGGAAGCAAGGACAGGGAACGTTCCCTGAACACATGGACAGAGACACCTGGCCAGAGTCTTGTAGCTCAAAGGAGACCCCACCCAAAGTGTGTGGACTGCAGCGTTGCTGGCCACTCAGGAGGATGAGGAGGGAAGGGCTGACAGCCCACCCTGTGATGTTGGGGAAAGAGAAAGTGTAAAATGGCCTCTCCAGAACCGATGTTGGGAGCAGCCTGTCCACAGAGACCCTGGATGGCTGCAGGAGGCTATCAGAGCAGCCTGTGGCTGGGGTAGGTCAGCTGAGTTCCAGATGGTCACTAAGACAATGGAAACAACTCTACCCCAGGGTAAATCGCCCCAGTGAAAACCCAGACAACATCCCCAGCTACCAGAGACAGCTGTGGGCACTCTCTAGGCTGCCTGGTGCCCAGAGTTGCAAGGAGGCAGCTGGCAGGATATGGAGGTCAGACTCCTCCCACCCTGGTCCTCCAGTAGCAGGTGCAGTGAGGGCCTTGGCTCTCCTCCCACCCCGAGAATCACCCTTGGTGATGCCCTCGTGTAAGCTCAGGGGACCCATGAAGGCCAGAGAGAGTGAGAAAGTATCAGTGCTGCTGGCAGTGGCCTGGCAGGTCAGCACCTCCAAATCATGGGATGAGCACGGGGGCACCGCCACACTCCCAATGCAGCTCAGAGACAGAGCCCTTGCCCCAAGGATCCCCAGCAAGGTGGGAGGGTGGTGAGGCCTCACACAGGACACCCACCCCCTCCCAGCAAGCAGGGATCCATCCCCACAGGACTTACCGGGGGCCCAGGAAATCCAGGGGGCCCATCACGCCCAGGCACACCAGGAAGACCTGGGGGTCCTGGGACATCAGAGCTGTTCACCCCAAAGCGGCCTGGCTCGCCAGGTAGGCCTGGGACACCAGGGGGTCCAGGGGGTCCAGGGAAACCTCGTGGTCCCTGGATAGGAACACACAGTCAGGGCACATGCAGCACCTACCAGCAGTGAGCACCCTGTGACCACCCCGTAGGGTCCCAGCTACATCTCATGAGGTCTTGGCTGGTTCCACAGGAGCACAGCAGCTACCGGGCAAGGCCACTCACCCGGAGGGTCTCTAGGTCACCACCGAAGCCGGATCCTTCCATGTCAATGAAGGTCTGAGCAGAAAGCACCAGAGATAGCTGTCAGCAGGCGCCAGACCCATCCTCTGCCCAGAGATGGCGTGCAGCAAGAAGATTGGCCCTGACCACCCTGTCCCATGTACCCGACCCCACTGCTCACAACACGAAGCAAAGGGAGATGTGCCCAGAGATGCCAAGGAGGGCAGGCCTAGCAGCTCCTATGAGCCCACAGCCAAGGGCAGTGCCAAGAGCAGTAGCTGGTCCTCCTGGGTCAGAACCCCCGGGGGGTATTTCCTAGGTCTGGACAAGGGGACCATGGGACTCACCAGCCTGTCATGTCCAAAGGAAGGTCCTGGTGGCCCTGGCGGCCCCTGGGGTCCTGGGGGTCCTCTCGTTCCTATCCCAGGATCCCCCTAGGAACACAAGACAAGGTCATGCCAAGGGCTCCTGGCCTCCACCCGGGCCATGGGCCAAGACAAGAAAGGCATCGTCCCCACCTGTAGACTCACCTTCTCACCCTTGGGGCCCATGTCTCCTGGGGCCCCCGGGAAGCCCTGTGGCCCAATGTCACCCTGGAAGAAAAAGCCCAGGGTCAGGGAGAAGCACCTGTCCTGTCTCATGTGACCCAGTAGCAGTCCACGGCTCTGCACCCTAAATGCTCCTCCCAAAGGCACAGGCAGACAGGGCTCAGCCCTTCAAGTGAGTCCATAGAGGCCCCAGGACACCAGAGGGCGCCAGGAGCCAAAAGCCCTGAGGCTCTGGAGAACCGGGAACATCCCCGAGGTGTAGCAGGGTCCCACAGGTATCCTCAGCAGATAGCACACCCTCAGGCCATTACTGCCTTGTGTGTGTGGTGCACATAGTGCGCGCACATCTGTTCGTGTGTGTGTGCACATGTGTGTTTAGCGTGTGGTACACAGTGTGTGCACATCTGTGTTTGTGTTGTGTGCACGTGTGTTGAGTGTGTGGTGTACACAGTGTGTGCGCATCTGTTTGTGTTGTGTGCGCATCTGTGTGGCACGTGTACATGTGTGTTGTATGGTACACATAGTGTACGCACATCTGTTTGTGTGGCGTGTGCACGTGTGTGTTGTGTGGTGCACATAGTGTACGCACATCTGTTTGTGTGGCGTGTGCACTTGTGTGTTGTGTGGTACACATAGTGTACGCACATCTGTTTGTGTGGTATGTGCATGTGTGTGTTGAATGTGTGCAGTACATGGGATAAGGACCTAGGGCCTGCCTGTTAGCTACTTGGTTGGCAGGGGAGGGGCCCTTGGGCCTAAAATGATGTCCACCTGATATGGAGCAAGGCATGTTTCCTGACGGGAAGTCCTAACACAATTTATCAGATCACACTCATGGCGTGGCCACGCGGATCCTCTACTGCACACATGCACACACGTCACACATACACACATCACACATGTACACGCCACACACGTGTATACGTCACATGTCACACATATCACACACATGTTCTAGCCACTCTCACCACGGTCTGCTGCTGTACAGCTGTGCTGTCAGGTCCAAGATGGTCATGAGAAATGGTCTTGTCAATGCGGCCGTGCTTCCCGTCCCTTTGGGTTGTTTTTAACTTGAACCCATCATGTCCAGGACTGGTACCTGACACCCACTTTCTGCCTCTAGTGCCAAGTAACAAGCTTCCCTGATCTTTACTTGCAATCTTTGCATAGTTTAATTGTGTTTCTTGAAAATAGTGTTGATTTTTAAACACCTAAATTCAGTGTTTTTGGATAGAACCTCTCATTTACCCTGACAGCTGTTGGTTCTGCACTTTCTTGGGCTGTGGCCTCTCTCTCCCCTGCACGTACTGCCCCCCATGACTCCAGAATTTCTTGAATTTTCCTTGCTAAGGACTAGGAAGGTATACCTTTTCTTCATTCTTTTTTCCCCCAGTAGTCTGCAATAAATACAAATCCATAACTGCCTGTTTCCTATCCACATTTAGACTTACATTTTTTTAACAAGAGTTAAGTTGCATTGTCAGTGGTTTGTAAAATCCCCTTGGTATGTTAAGTTTAAAGGGTGCCAGAGGGTAAAAAGCTTCCACATCTCATGGGACCATCACAGATAACTGGCTCAGAGGGAAGCAAACTTACAGCTTTTCCATCTTCACCTGGGTCACCCTGGAAAGTGCAAGAGGAAGCATCAGTGAAAGGCAGTCAGGCACAGAACGCCCCACATACAGAGCTCCAGGAGGTGGGGCTGACCCTCCAGGGTGCCATGTCGTCAGGTGACTGGGTCTAAGCCCACATCTCCCATGCCCCACCACCTCTGGTGCCAAACCCCAGCAATGGCTGGTCTGGGGTCTCTGCTTTCTCCTAGCCCACCCTCGAGTCAGCTGCACCCTTTCCCCTTCCTGTCCAAGCCCATACCCGGGGACCCAGACCACAGGGCTGTGTGAACTCACTGGCCGGCCGTCCTTTCCTGGGGCACCGTCCTTTCCTGGGAGACCTGGGGGTCCCTGCGGCCCAGGGACAGGCTGTGCATGTGGACTCAGAGCCCCTGGGCCCACAGGTCCCTGGGGACTCTGGGGGCTGAAGGGGCACGGGAGGCCTGGAGGTCCAACCACGCATGGAGGGCCGGGGGGGCCTATTGAGCCAGGCAGGCCTGGAGCACCGGGCTCCCCCTTCTGCCCCTTCAGGCCTCCCTGTGGGGAGAAAGACCAGAGCACAGGCTGGGCAGAGCCACACACATGCTTGGGTGCCCAGACTCTGCATCCTGTGTGTGGTAGATGGACATACAAGGTGGATATGGACACATAGGGTGGACATGGACACACAGTGTGGATGTACAGAGTGGACGTGGACTAACAGGGTGGACACAGAGGATGGACACACAGGGTGGACATGGATGCATAGGGTGGACATACATGATGGACATGGACACAAAGGATGGAT